AAACTGAAAGTTCATTTTGAAGATCTAACCATAGACACCAAAAGAAATGAGGAAGCTAGAACCTAAAAAAAAAAGAATAATAATTTTAATAATAAATGTTAAATCATCTAACTTGACAAGTATGTCAAATCGACTACATATAAAAAAAGGTAAATTAAACCTATTTGTAGATTTGTATAGTGAATTTTTTTAAATAATACAATTGGTATTTCACTGTTTTAATGCAGAAAAGCCTGATAAACAACTTTTATTAAGACCAAAAGGATAGTTTTCTTAATAACAATACCTCTTCCAAATTACTTTTTTTAAATTTTAGAGGGCGCATTAGCAAAAATTGGGGTAGAAATAGCAATTCTCTTAATATATTGTAGTAACCCTATTTAAATAAGCTGCAACATGTAATTGCAAAGTTTGTATATTCTTATCCGCTTACCAATAATTAGCAAATTTATTTTAAAGTGAATAAAAAAAATAATAAATTATAAGCATTTAAAAAAAGGTAAAAAATAAAAAATAAAAAATAAAAAATTATAAGTATTCAAAAAAAAGTAAAAAATAAAAATAAAAATAAATTAAATTATGAAATAATAACTATTGGACTTGAGCAAGTCTACAAGCTAAAAGATTATATTTATCTGGATCTCTAATTGCAACCGCAATGAGGTATGATGATGGCAAATCTTCTAAATTAAATACCATATCAAAATTAAACACTTTAGTTGAACACTTAACTGTCGATTTTATCGCTTAATAAAACAGTTTTATTACCAATTCCAAGAAAGAATTTATAGCCATCAACAATATCTTCATTGGTCATTGCTGAAACTTTAATCTCGAGTTTCATACTGCGTAAGTGAATTGTAAGTTAAATACTCTGATTTCTTTAACTTAGAAATTAAACTCCACAAGTTTTTACAAAAGGATATAACAAAGTCAAAGATAAATGCTTCTACTCTAATTTTGAAGATTTTTTTGAAACTTATTTAATTTGAACTTTACAAGGTTATCAAACTTCCTAAGTTAGTTTTTATTCAAGTGAAGAGCACAGGTCGAATGAAGCCATATCAGGAGTATGTATGTCAGATAAATATCAGGAACATATCGGGTGTTCCGATATTTCAAGTAAATATTATAGAGATATCAGCATAATCGATAGACCTATCAGAATATCTGATAGACCTATTGAAATATTTATAAATATCCTTATATGTTTAACGAATATAGGTATAAAATCAGTAAAATATCAAACAAGTGATAAAACTATCAATTTAAACTGATATTTCTTTGATTTTTATTTGAAAATTTCACATAGTATATGGTTATATAGCAAATTAAATGCTGTTCATACGCAAAATCTTGCATCTAATCGGGTATATATATATGGTAAAGCAAATTTCACATGTTATATCTTTGCATCCGAAGTAACACTTGCTCCTATATTTTGTATCGCCGCATGAGATTGTTAGTCTAACTTTTATGTGTGATACAGTAATTTATTTTTCATGGTCATTTGATTTTGATTGCAATTATCATTATACCATTCTGTATATATAGTGATAGATGATTCTGGAGATCTGATTTCTATTTCTGTATTATTGATTTTACTCTATTTAGAGCTAAACAAGTATATAATTATATATTTAATTTCTTTTTTATTTTATTAAACATTCAAGTCTAACTACTATCAATTTCTTCTATTCCTTGTTTTGCACAATGATATCAACTGATATTAACTATGATTAAGATTGGTGATCACATCGATATAAAAAAATTCATCTACTATATTTATATTTTACTTTGGACTTCACTTCTGAAGACTCTTCTCTTTTCACTTTTAATATATTTAATATACTAATTTTCTTTCTTTTCCTTTCAGGTTTCTCGCTCCTCATTTCTATCAGCTTTTTGTTTCTATCAGCTCCTTGTTTCTTTTGACTTCTTATTTCTTTTGACTTCTAATTTTTTTTGGCTCCTTGTTTCTTTTGACTTCTTGTTTCTATTGGCTCCTCGTTTTTTTCAGCTCCTCATTTCTTTTGACTCCCTGTTTCTTTCAGCTCCTTATTTTTTTCAGCTCCTCGTTATTTTCGGTATTTATGGTTAGATCTTTGAAATGGACTTTCAGCTTTACTTTCTGGTATTCTTTCTTATAAGTATTCTTGTTTTTTTTTTTAGTATATAATTAATTTACTAACCTCATTTTTTTTTTTCTTTTAGGTTCTAGCTTCTGTATTTCTTTTAGTATTCATGGTTAGATCTTCAAAATAGACTTTCAGTTTCGTTTTCTGGCATTCTTTCTTATAAGTATTCTTGTTTTTTTTTTTAGTATATAATTAACTTACTAACCTCATTTTTCTTTTTTTTTTAAGTTCTAGCTTCCTTGTTTCTTTTGGTGTCCATGGTTAGATCTTTGAAATAGACTTTTGGTTTTACTTTCTGGTGTTCTTTCTTTTTTTTATTATATAATAACTTACTAACTTGCTGCTTCTTTTTTTTTAGATTCTAGCTTCCTTTCTTATTATTTTTGGCATCCATAGTTAGATCTTTGAAATGGACTTTCAGTTTCGCTTTTTGGTATTCTTTCTTATAAGTATTTTTGTTTTTGTTTTTTTTTCAGTATATAATTAACTTACTTCATTCTTCTTTTTCTTTTAGGTTCTAGCTTCCTCGTTTCTTTCAGTATCCAGGATTAGATCATTAAAATAAACTTACAGTTTCGCTTCCTAGCGTTCTTTCTTTTTTTTTATTATATAATAATTTACTAACTTGCTGCTTCTTTTTCTTTTAGATTCTAGCTTTTTTTCTCATTATTTTCGGTATCCATGGTTAGATCTTCGAAATAAACTTTTAGTTTCGCTTTTTGGCATTCTTTCTTATAAGTATTCTTGTTTTTTTTTCAGTATATAATTAACTTACTAACCTTATTCTTCTTTTTTTTTTAGGTTCTAGCTTCCTCATTTCTTTTGGTGTCTATGGTTAGATCTTCAAAATGAACTTTCAGTTT